CATTCAAGATTTAGCATTTGAGTTTTAGTATCAGAAGACTGATCCTGAGAGCAGAGGCACCATAGCAATGGAAGCTGCAGTATTCAGGTTAAAGGTTTTGAGATATTTCATCCACCTGAATAATTCCCATAAGATCTGAGTTCAGGATCCTCAAAACAGAGCTTGTCTCTGAAGTGCTTAATTCTCTTACCCGTGGTAAGCCAGAAGGTTTCTTTTTTAGAGGACAGAGAGACACTGAGCTGAAACTAGAGACAGCATAGTTGTGTACAAGGAACTGGATTGATTCTAGGAGGCGTCTTGAGTAAGCTCTATCCATCGTCTGAAGCCATTAGAGCACAAGACTGGAGAACATTCGTTTGCTTCATTTTAGACCATACTCTGCAACTAGACCTTCTTTAGCTGCAGAGGTGGTAGCAAATCCCAATTTTCATACAACCTTGCAACAACACGCACTAAGTCAAGACAAAATTGGACTAGTTGGCATTATTCTTTTTTCTATACAAGAGAATCTTGTTGAAATGAAGCAGTAGTAGTTATGCTGTTTGTGCCTGGACTTGCCAGTACTAATTGCAACATTCTCGAGAGATCTGGATTTCATAGGTGTTTATGCAAAACCCTTTCAATGGCTGCTTATATTCAACAGTCCATAAAAAGCTATTGAGAAGCCATTTTCACATGTATTCCTTCTGTTTCAAAAAGTTAAATGTTTTACCTTTTTCACACATATTAAGAAAAAACATAAATTGTGATTACCAATGCATCATTTATTATATATAATAAATCCCTATATTTTTTAACCATTAGAATTTTAAGAAACACAATTAATTTTCTTGAAATCTATAATTTTTCATTAAAAATACATCTTTTTGAAACAAATATTATTTATAGAATGTTCATCTTTTTGAAACGGAGGGAGTAGAAACCAAATCCAACGACTTGAGACGATATAAAAGAAATAGAAACCTTGGATTTACGTGTGCAACATAATATGGCGAGTGAATAGAAAAACTATGTCATTTTTGTATTTATGGCTACCCTGAACAAATACTCTGACTGTAATTGTTGATGTAAGATGTCCGCCCTGAAGTAGTCGTTGACGTAGTTACTGAGGCAGACGTCGTGTTGAGTGGTGAAAACCATGTGGAGTCAAGATGCTGAGTTGGAGTTGTGTAGACTTGGAGAGTAAGGGTGTATCTTGGAGAAAAGGCAGGAGGAATAAACTTGAGGAGCAAGTTTATGACGTAAAGGAAAGAGAAATAAGTGCATTCCAAGAAAAGAAAAGTTGCACTTAATGTTATAGAAGATGTCCATATTGTGTTCCTTGGAAACTAGGGTTTCGGGAACGTGGAGAACAACTATAATATAGCTATGGGGTCGTCTGTAGAGAGACAGAGACACATAGGCTGATCTTATAGAGAGAGAGAAGCTCTTAAGGTGTTCTTGGGTCGTGCTGAAGCAGAGCTGAAGTACTTGACAGCAGAGAGACATAAGTGAGTAGCTTAGGAAACCTTCAGTGACGTGTGTTAGGGTGTTAACACTAGACGTGTAAAGCTGAATAAACAAGGGCTTGTAAGATTTTTTAAAGGAGATTTCTAATAAAGCTATTGGTGTTTTGTCTCTTGAGTTATCTTCTGCATTACTATATTGTGGTGTCATCTTTGCACTTACAATTGGTATCAGAGTGGGGCACCTAAGTTTTCGGTGTAATCCTGAAGGTGAAGATGGACACGATTGTTATGATGCAGAAGGCAATCATGTTGAATGCAGACCAGTATGGTCATTGGAAGGCTCGCATGAAGCATATGATTCGAGGAATCAATGAAGATGCGTGGACAATTGTGGAGATTGGTTGGGAGGAGCCTACCATAGTCACATGAGATGAGAAGAAGCCCAAGCCAAAAGAGGATTGGTCAGAGGCAGAACGCAATGCATCAAAATTTAATGCAAAGGCGGTATCGGTGATTTTTTGAGCTGTTGAAGCAGAGCAGTTTCAGCTGATTCAGGGGAGTACGTCAGCTAAAGAGGCATGGGATATCCTGTTGAATTCGTTTGAGGGAGATGAGACTGTCAAGAGGACACGCCTAGATCATCTTGGGTGGCAATTTGAGAATCTCAGATGGTCTGATGTTGATTCTGTGGCGAGCTTTAGTGCCAAACTCAGTGCTATGGCGCATGAAGCATTTGTACTTGTGAAGAAGTACAAGGAGAAGAAGCTGGTAAAGAAGTTACTACGCTGTCTTCCAAGGAAGTTTGAAGCTCACAAGGCAGTCTTGTAGATGACTACAAACACGGATGAGCTCAAGTTTGATAAGCTTGTGGGTATGCTGAAGGCACAAGAGATGGAGACAAACAGTAGTTCAGTCTCTATGTCAGGCAGTGCGCTAGGGAGTATAGCGCTTGCAGCTGACAAAGATGGTGATAGATTCCAGAAGCTTGAAAATACTGTGGGTATGTTGGCTATGAATTTTGTTAGGGCGACAAACTCCTCTGGTGGGAGGAATCAATATGGTCGTCAAGGAGGTGATCGTGGCAATGGTAGAAGAGATGCTATCAAGTGTTACGAGTGTGAAGGAATTGGTCATGTGAGGGCTGACTGTCCTATGGCACAAGGAAAGGAACTTAAGTGTTCTGAGTGCAGAGGTGTTGGACACACACGACGTGAATGTCCAAACTCAAAGAAGGGAAAAGGAGCTCAGACGTCTGATGATTCAGATTCTGAAGAAGATGATAAGGCGATGAAGAATATGGTTTCATTTGGTTCTCACAAAGAGGGAGCTAGTGAATCCTCGGTTTCAGATCGCAGTATAGATGATGAGGAGTATCACGTGCTGCTCAACAAGTGGTTGAAGCTCAAGAATGAGAATCTGAGATGGGAGAGTGTGGCTCAGAAGCAAAACGAGTTGCTTGAAGAACTTCGTGAAGAACTTAAGGCTGTAGAAGAGAAGAATGAGTCTCTTGAAGAGGAACTTAGAAAGCTGAGAAGAGTTGCTACTGGTGAACTAGAGAGAGCAAGGAAGCTGGAACGTGATTTGGCTGAGAATCACAAACAGATCAGAATGCTCAATAGTGGATCCAAGGAGTTGGATAAGATACTCTCAATGGGACAACCAGCCAAGGCGAATGGGGGACTGGGATACCGGGGAGCTGAGAGTACCGCAGTACAACAGAAGGGGCTGTCACACTTCGTGCATGGGAGCACATCGAAAAGTGGAACCAAGGAAGCTTGTCAGGAAGTGCGTCGGGACGTACGACAAGGAGTACGGCATGAAGTTTTACAGCGCGTGGCTGTGAGCAACAAGCCGAAAGTGGTACATCAATGCAGCAACATGAAGGTCAGACATGAGGTTTTGAAGCATGGTTGTGTATCTAGTACAAGGAAGGAGACTGATCGGTGAATCAGCAACTGTGTCAGGCCCAAGAAAAAAACAACATTGGATGTGCTGCTGGTTCTGTGGGAAGGTTGGACACAAGAAAGTGGAGTGTTTTGCTCGCGAGAAGAGCAAAAACATGGCCAAAAAGGTGAACAAAATGTTCATTAAACCCAAGAGGGTTGAAGAGGTGTTCTTAGCCAAGAGTGACTTACTTGATGAGGTCAAGAAAGGGACATCAGAAGAAGGGTGCAGCTCTAGTGAGAGTGATCTTGAGGTTGATCAAGAAGCATAAAGTCTGGAGCCAGGACACGGAGTTGTTTGTGGTTCAAAAGGGAAGGAGATTGAAGTGCGTCAAGAAGTGATGCGAGATGATCTTCAGGAGGGTGATAGTGAAATCACTCCAAGACAATAGCAACGAGTGCAGAGAGAGCACTCGGTGTGGATGAGGAGGGGCTCATGGTCCAGGAGATGACGCATGAATGAAGCCAAGTCCTCAACAGAAGTGGGTCGAAAGGTAGTTCGACAGGTGCGTCAGATCGTGATGCAGTACTTGTAATCTATTCCGCTGCAGTAGGGGCTGTATCATGATTAATGCGATGGAAGGCTTGAAATCTAAGCATCTGTGTTTTAGCTTAGTATGCAATCAAGCAGGGGAAGAAGTGGAGACGTTCTGGTCCAAGGAGTGCATATCTCATGGAGGAGAAGAGCATGGTGATGGACGTTCTGAAGTAGATGATGCTTATCTCATGGGGGAGAAAAGCATGATGTGGTGCACATCTCGTAGGGGAGAAAAGCACATTTGGTATGGAAAGTTCCAAGTGAGGAACGTGGTTGTTGAACCAGAAGGATGTTGTGCTTGATCAGCACACAAAGCTAAAAGGGGGAGATTGTTGATGTAAGATGTCCGCCCTGAAGTAGTCGCTGACGTAGTTGCTGAGGCAGACGTAATGTTAAGTGGTGAAAACCATGTGGAGTCAAGATGCTGAGCTGGAGTCGTGTAGACTTGGAGAGCAAGGGTGTATCTTGGAGAAAAAGCAAGAGGAATAAACTTGAGGAGAAAGTTTATGACTTAAAGGAAAGAGGAATAAGTGCATTCCAAGAAAATGAAAGTTGCACTTAATGTTATGGAAGATGTCCATATTGTGTTCCTTGGAGACTAGGGTTTCGGGAACATGGAGAACAACTATAAGATAGCTATGGGGTCGTCTGTAGAGAGACAGAGACACATAGGCTGATCTTATAGAGAGAGAGAGAAGCTCTTAAGGTGTTCTTGGGTCGTGCTGAAGCAGAGGCTGAAGTACTTGACGGCAGAGAGACATAAGTGCGTAGCTTAGGAATCATTCAGTGACGTGTGTTAGGGTGTTAACATTAGACGTGTAATGCTGAATAAACAAGGTCTTGTAAGATTGTTTAAAGGAGATTTCTAATAAAGCTATTGGTGTTTTGTCTCTTGAGTTATTTTCTGCATTACTATATTGTGGTGTCATCTTTGCACTTACAGTAATGGCATCATCTCTCTTACAATAGTGATTCTGCTGCAAACTACAGGCTTTGTGTTGAGTAAGAGACGACTATTTTGTGTCACTGAGACTACTACAAGACGAGGAACTTAAGAAAAAATATAGAAACTTATGGGCTCAGGTCGAAGTTTGTCTCCAATACGTTGTGAATTTTGAACAGGGAATCAACCTTATAATCAGGATGCAGTCCGGTAACAGAGAAATCATCTGGTACATACCTTCCGGTTTCATCTAGCAAACATGTGAAGGCTCCAGCTCGTTTCCCACATGCTATCTGCAGAATCAAGCGAAGAAATAGTCTGCGAGTTGGTATGCAATCCCTTCCGTATAACAAAATCTCTAAGCAAATGCATAAGAAGGTCCGCTTATAAGAGCTTCGTTCATGCATTAATTGCTTAAAAAGATTTGCTTCTATACATAAAAGATATATCATCATCATATCTGCCACTCACATCATCTTTCAAGTTGTCACCAACCATCATGACTTCGTTAGGTGGGATGTCACATGAAGAACATATATGCAGCAGAGGGTCAGGGTTTGGTTTATATGGACGAAACTCTCTGCCTAGTGCTGGAGAAAAATGAACCTAATATACAATGAAAAGTTAGAAAGAGAAAGCCTCTGACAGCAAAACCAATCAGGCAGCTTAAAATACTATACCTCAAAACGTTGGTGGAAGATATCAATCGCCTTCTTAACGTTGTGTGTAATTAGCCCCTTCCTAAAAAAAATGAAACAACGAAGTTGTTTATCTTCTTTAACATTGAGTTTTATTGCATTTTGTTAGCATGCATGAAACAAGGTTATCTGACAAATCATACTTTATCTTCTTGGAATCAAGAAAGCCACAAAGCTCAGCAGCACCTGAGAACACAGTTTTGCTATATTAGAAGAGAATCAAACCTCTAACCACCAAAGAAAACACAGTAACACTCAAACCAAAGATAGATTTAGTAAGACACTGTCTTGTTAACACATCAAGATCCCAAACTCAAGAATCATGAAACCGTACCGGGCATGATTTGGAGCTTATCAATTCCTTGTTTCTCGTAATCAGCGATGGTTTCATATGCCTTCTGCTGTTTATCTGGACTCCACGACTCGATGTGGTGAAGAATATCGATTCCGGTAGGGCTCTCCGCCTTGATTCGCTTGTACTCGTCTTCACCTAAGACGGACCTGTACATTGCGGCGAAATAGATGACTGACCGTTAGAGTTCCGTCCATGTCGAATACGACGCCTCTAAGGCGAGATTTCGCGGTTAGATTCGCCATGGAAATCGAAGAAGAAGGTTTGAGTGTGAGAGAAACAAATGTTCTTGATAAGAGGAAAGTCATGGACAAGAGATGGTTTAACTGAACTGAATCGAGTCACATACGGTTTTTTTTTAAACGGTTTATAATTAATCTCTCTCTGTGTTCAAAAAAGGAAAAAAAAATAGTTACTCTTTTTTTTTGAACACCAAATATATTAAAACCCCTTTAGCAAAGCTAAGATGGAAGCAAAAAGGTAGCGTTACAGAGAGTAGTTTGTTACGAGTAAAGTTGTAAACTCAGATCTTTAAGAAATACAAATCTTATTTCATAAAAGATAAGCGAATACAACGGATTGAAAAGTGTTTATCAAGAGTAACTTTCACCTCTCCTACAATGTGATCGACAAAACACTCGATGACCCAAAATAAAGCAACGTACAACGTTAATATAAAGCAGCCTATGAATTTTCCACGTCACCAACACCTCATGTGCTCTTGTTGGGATGATGTCGCTGAGTCAAAACAGACTAGTGGTTATTCTTCTTCTTTAAGGCAAGTCATCAGGCTCCACTTCACTCTGATGAGGCCCATTTATTACTGCTACTTCAAATACTACTCCCGATGGGCCTTACCCTTTTAGACTCATAGGTAACATTACCGGCCCCTTTTAGACCAACCTTGTCCTCAAGGTTGAGTTGAGGAAATTGTACTGCTATCTTCTGCTTCCACTCCCAAGTGCAGTCAAAGTCCGGCAACCCTTTCCACTTGATGAGAACCTCCTCTTGTCCATTCCTGCTGTTCACTCTACAATCCAGGACCCTGTTAGGTTCAGCTTCCAAAACCCTTTCAGATGTTAACTGGAATGGAATCTCAGCTGGCCTTATCTCATCCCCCACTGCCTTTTTAAGTTGAGAGACATGGAAAGTATGATGTATGCAAGCCCCCTCTAGTAACGCAAGCTTGTAGGCTACTTTCCCAATCTTAGCTAACACCTCATATGGACCATAGTAGTGTGCAGCCAACTTCTCATTGGTGCGCCTTGCCAGAGTCTGCTGTCTATACGGCCTAAACTTCAAGAACACTTTATCCCCCACCTCAAATGTCACCTCCCTTCGATGACTATCAACTCTGTCCTTCATGACCTGCTGAGCTTTATGAATGTGGCATTTCAGCAGGTCCAACGTTGCATCTCTCTCCCTCAACCTGTCCTCCAACTCAGCATTATTAGTAGATCCATCCTCATACCTGAGCAGAGTTGGAGCGTCCCTTCCATACACGGGCCTGAACGGAGTCATTTGTAGTGCTGAGTGATAAGCTGAATTGTAGCTGAACTCTGCCCAAAGAAGGTACTGAACGCAAGTTCTCGGCTTCTCACCAGCGAAAGAGCGCAAATACGTCTCCAACCCTCTGTTAGTAACCTCTGTCTGCCCATCTGATTGCGGGTGATACGCGGTGCTGAAGCACAAGGTGGTACCGGCCAGTCTAAACATCTCCTTCCAGAACTGACTCGTGAACACCTTGTCTCGGTTCGATACGATGGTTTTAGGGAACCCATGTAACTTTATCACTTCATGAATGAACAGCACCGCGACATCAACCGCCGTATATGGATGCTTCAACCCAATGAAGTGAGCATATTTCGATTGTCTGTCCACAACCACCAGCACTGAATTTATCCCCTCCAAACGTGGCAAGCCTTCCACAAAATCCATCGACACGTCCTCCCATATCAACTCTGGCACTGGTAGAGGTTGCAGGAGCCCTCCCGGTGCCAACGTAGAATACTTTTGTCTCTGACATACTGAACAGGCTGCAACATACCTCCTTATATCTGTCATCATCCCTGTCCAGTAGAAAGAAGAACTGATCCTCTTCTGAGTCTTGAGAACTCCCCCATGACCACCTTGTTTCCCATCATGAAACTCTTTGAGGAGAGTCCCGATTAATTGTGGCCCTTTTGGTAGAACCAGTTTTCCCTGCCTCAGTAACTTTCCTCGCACCACCGTATAGTCTGGATGCTTCTTCGGATCATCTCTCAACTCCCTAATGATCGTTTGCAAAGCTGCATCCTGATCCACTTCCTTACTGACCTCTTCTAATTGTATAGCGAAAGGACCTGACAAGGCACTTAACTCCACTGTTGCTTCTTTGCGCGATAGGGCGTCAGCTTCTCCAATCCTGGTTTGTATTAGATATCGAAGTCAAAGCCCAACAAATAGCGTTGGTACTCCAGATCGACCTCCCTCTGTTCCAGCAGAAACTTGAGGCTTTTCTGATCGGTCCTGACAAAGAATTTGCGCCCCAGCAGGTAGTGCCTCCACTTCTATATAGCAAACACGATCGCCATTAATTCTCTTTCGTACACTGACTTCTGCCTATGCCTGTCTGTCAACGCTTGACTAAAATAGGTGATCGGACGTTGCTGCTGCATCAAAACTGCTCCTACACCAACCCCTGATGCATCTGATCCTATCACAAACACTTCAATGTCTGGGAGAGCCAATACAGGGACTGTTGACATCGCTTCTTTCAGCTTTTGAAACGCTACTGTAGCTTCTCCACTCCACTGGAAGCTGTTTTTTTGAGTAACGTCGTCAGAGGTCGAGCTATATCTCTGTAGCTCCTCACAAATTTTCTATAATAGCCGGTGAGGCCTAGAAACCCGCGAAGCTCTTTGATGTTGCGAGGCTTCTTCCACTCAACCATAGCTTTGATCTTACTGTCATCAGCAGCTACTCCTTCTTTAGAGATCATATGCCCCAAGTACTCTATGGATGGTGACCCGAAATGACATTTCTTCCCATTAGCGTACAACTGCTGTTTTCTCAACACCTCCAAAACCACTTGTAGATGACGCTCATGGTCTTTTTTAGTCTTGCTGAAGACCAAGATGTCATCAAAAAAGACTAGAAAAAACTTCCTTAGGTACTCACGGAACACCTGATTCATCAAGGCCTAAAATGTGGAGGGTGCATTAGACATGCCGAAAGGCATTACCAGGAATTCGTAATGGCCATCGTGAGTACGGAAAGCTATTTTATGCACGTCCTCCTTCTTGACTAAGATCTGGTGATACCCTGATTTGAGGTCTATCTTGGAATACACCTCTGCTCCTTTCAATTCATCGAGCAGCTGGTCTATCATCGAAATGGGGTAGCAATCTGCAATGGTGACCTTGTTGAGAGCTCTGTAATCTACACAGAACCTCCAGATTCCATCTTTCTTCTTGACTAGGAGCACATGACTGGAGAAAGGGCTCCCACTATCTCTGATAATCCCCGCCGTCAACATAGCTGAGACCTGCTTCTCTATCTCTTCCTTCTGAATCTGTGGATAGCGGAAAGGTCTGACGCTTACAGGATTGGCTCCCGACTGTAGAGTGATGGCGTGTTCTCTTCCCCTGGAAGGAGGTAATCCCTTTGGTTCAGCAAAAACCTGGGGATACTCCTCCAATATCCGTTTACACCTCACTGGTACCTTTGAGTTGGGTTCCTGCTCCACCTGAATCTCATTATGCTCTATGATGAGTCCAGTTGGCTCTTGCCCCATCGCCTTCCATATACCCTTAGCAGAGACTGCCTCACACTTTAGACTAGGATCTCCTTGCAATGTGTACTTGACCCCATCAACCTTGAACCTCATACGCTGAAGCTTCCAGTTGACCTTCATGTTACTGAGTGTCGATAGCCATTGGATTCCTAGTATGACATCAGCGTTTCCAAGTTTCAGGGGCAAAAAACTCATCTTAATGCTCAACCCCTGCAGCATCAACTCCAACTCTTGACAGACTCCAGTACCCTTCAACAACGTTCCTCCAGCTACTAGCACCCCGAACCGTTTTGTACTCTCCATCTTTAAGTCCAAATGGTGCACCATTTTCGTGTCTACAAAGTTGTGCGTAGCACCGCTATCGATCAAGACGACAACTTTCTCACCAGATAAGATCCCCTCCATTTTTATGGTCCTCGAGGTGGAGATGCCGGCAATGGAACTGACCGATACCTCTGAGACTTCCACATCTTCGTCCTCCTTCGAGTCATCCTCATCATCAATACGATCTGAGATGTCAATCTCCGTACCATCTTCTTTGGCCATGAGCACCATCACTCCCGGTTTCTGACATCGATGGTTGCGGTTGTACTTCTCATCGCATCTGTAACACAGGCCCTTTGCTCTCCTCTCTGCAACCTCGGCCTCAGTCAGTCTTCGAAACGGAGGCTTCAAGCGGTTGTGACCACCGGGCTGCGGTTAGGGTTTTGATTGGGCTTCTGCTTGCTATTACCAGGCCCACTCCCTTGACCGTTGTTGGGCTTGGAGTTGTTGGGCTTTTAGTTCTTTTGGCCCGTTTTGGACACGTCGGAGTTACTCCCCTCCGTCGCATCTTCTTCAGGTTCTGCCCACTCCTCCACCATCTTGGCCACCTTCATCATCTTCTTCAGACCTCTGGGTTCAAACATCTTTATCCCTGCTCTTATTTTCGGTTTAAGACCGATCATAAAAGCCATCTCCAACACCGCATCGGACAATCCGGTGCATTTGAGGCCAAGCCGATGAAGTCTTTGCAGTACTCCTTGATGATCCCCTTCTGCTTGAGAGTCAAGAGCCTTTCGTCGGCGCTCGTGTCATGTACCGGTGAATACTGCTCCAGCACCCTCTGTTTCATCTGTTCCCATGTCAGAAACGGATTTCTCTTTCTCTCCCAACGGTACCACATCAGAGCGTCGCCGATGAAACACATCCTCACATATCGGAGCTTCTCTTCCTCCGTCATGTCTCCGATCTCGAAGTATTGTTCCACACGTAACACCCACGTCTCGGCGTCGTTTCCGTTAAACTCCGGAACTTCCATCCTCCGCAACCACGACGCGTTGTTCTCCTCCAGTAGTCTCACCGGATTTTGTTGACGCACAAACGACGTCACTCTGTTCCCCTACTCCTTAGGGTTACTCGTCTCGTGCCTCAACGATGGGTCGACCTCGATGCCCTTTCCGTTACCTCCTCCAGGGTACACGGTTGCTTTTGAAGGTCCGATCTGGCTCGAAACCGTCTCCGACTGTTGGAGCTCAGATTCCTTCCTCGGTCTAGCCTCATCTTCTTCGATCATCCTCTGTTCGATCCTTTCCAGCACACTCAACCTTCCCAGTTGTTTCTTGATGTCTTCGACTCTCTGCTCCAGCACTGCTATGCGACTGACGACACGTTGCAGACTCTCCACAGCGCTCTCGACATATGCTTTATTCGAGCCCATCCTCTTTCCAAGTCACGTACATGCTCTGATACCAAGTTTGTTACGAGTAAAGTTGTAAACTCAGATCTTTAAGAAATACAAATCTTATTTCATAAAAGACAAGCGAATACAACAGATTGAAAGTGTTTATCAAGAGTAACTTTCACCTCTCCTACAATGTGATCGACAAAACACTCGATGACCCAAAATAAAGCAACGTACAACGTTAATATAAAGCAGCATATGACTCTTCCACGTCACCAACACCTCACGTGCTCTTGTTGGGATGATGTCGCTAAGTCAAAACAGACTGGTGGTTATTCTTCTTCGTCAAGCAAGTCATCAGGTTCCACATCACTCTGATGAGACCCATTTATTACTGCTACTTTAAATACTACTCCCGATGGGTCTTACCCTTCCTATGATACTGATAAAGGATCAGAGGGTGTATGGACTCATAGGTAACATAGTTTTAGCAAGACGATCAGTCAGAGAGTTTAACAACCTCTCAACAAACTTAAAAGAGACAGACAAGAAACAGTTACTCTCTCTCTCTTTTGTTTTAGCTATTTTTAACCAATCCGGTTCGGTTTAAATCATGAATTAGTTCGGTTTAAAACTAAGGACGGAGATGACGCGAGATAGCAAGTAGGCCAGGACATATTCTGCTCCATGCATATGTGTATGTCTATCAAACTTCCACCACATTGTCTTCATCCCCTCCATTGAAATCGAACCGGATTGGTTTTAGAGAATGTTCGAAATTTGAATCCGGTTTGGTGATAGGAGTAATTTGGGAATCACAAAGCTAAATAACTTGTATGACACGCTTACGTGGATTCGTTGCTGAGAGAGACGAAACGAAGCATCAAATAAGGGAAGAACAAAAAAAAAAAAAGAAAAAACAAGAGAGAAAATCCGAGGGAAAACGCGAGAAAGTTTATTAGTTTCTGCGAGAATCTGCAGCTACATTGTTTTTTTTTTTTTTTTGTATAGGGAAAAAGCTGAAGGGGGTTAAGGTCTCTGGTGGTTATCTCGTCGGCCAATACGTGAATGCAGCCCTAATCTTTTGTTTTTTTTTTTTACGTCGCACAGAGAGAGAGGAGAAACATTGATTTTATATATATTTGTATCTGATTCAACATTGGATCTATGGTGGAGAAATATCCCGGGAAACACCACCTGATTGGGGTTCTCAGGGATTATTTCTAATGTATTCTTCCCGTTGGATATCTTCATTCGGGATCGTTTCTAGGAAAATCTAACCAGATTTGGACGTAATAATGGTAATAAGAGACTCTCTTATTTAATCTGCATTTCGATTTCTTCGTGTTGCTCATGTTTTCACTTTTTGAACAGGCTGCTTTGGGGTCGCTCGTCTGGGTTGAAGACTCAGATGAAGCCTGGATAGATGGAGAAGTAGTCGAAGCCAACGATGATGAGATCAAAGTCATCTGCCCAACCAAGACGGTTAGCTTCTAATCATAATCATTCTGTTAGAGGAAATGAGCTTTGCTTGGCTCTTAAGCTACATGATAATGTGTAGTGAAGCTCATATATGTTATGTAGGTTACGGCGAAGGTAAATGCTGTCTACCCCAAGGATCCTGAGTTTCCTGAACTTGGTGTCGACGACATGACCAAGCTTGCCTATCTGCATGAACCAGGGGTTCTTCTTAATCTTAAGTCCCGCTACAATGCAAATGAAATATATGTAAGCATATATAACCTTGTAACACTACTTTTCTTTCATTTATTTCACTATCTTACTATCATTCATTTTATGCTTATTAAGCTTGTTCTTGAAATGGTTTTACAGACGTACACAGGGAATATACTGATAGCTGTTAATCCCTTTAAAAGATTACCCCACCTATATGGAAATGATATAATGGAACAATATAAAGGCTCAGACTTTGGCGAGTTAAGCCCACATCCTTTTGCAGTTGCTGATTCTGCTTACAGGTTATCTTCTTTTTTTCCTTTTTATCTACCATTGCCAGTTTTACTTTTTATTTGGGGACCCACAAATAACAAGAATGTAAAATTTTTAGAAAAATGATCAACGAGGGAGTAAGCCAGGCGATCTTGGTGAGTGGAGAAAGTGGTGCTGGGAAGACAGAGAGCACAAAGATGCTCATGCAGTATCTTGCATACATGGGTGGAAAAGCTCAAAGTGAAGGACGATCTGTTGAACAGCAAGTTTTGGAGGTACACAACAAACACTATCTATCTAGATTCTTATTAAAACATAAATGCATTCTTCTTACTCTTCTCGGCTTATGTTTCTGTTCTGCAGTCTAATCCAGTTTTAGAAGCCTTTGGTAATGCAAAAACCGTCAAAAACAATAATTCAAGGTGGGAATGTCTTTAAACATTTCTTTTAGTTTCCTCTGTTCTTGTGTGTTTTGTTGAAGCCACAACTTGACATATATATCGGTAAATATCATATTGCAGTCGTTTTGGTAAGTTTGTGGAGATTCAGTTCAACCACATGGGAAGAATCTCAGGAGCTGCTATTAGAACATACTTGCTTGAGAGGTCACGTGTTTGTCAAGTTTCTGATCCTGAAAGAAACTATCATTGCTTTTACATGCTTTGCGCTGCCCCACAACAGGTAAACATGGTCCCTTTCCATGCGTACATTAAGCCTTATGTGATATCCATATTGACAAAACTAGCATCCGTTTTGAGATTTTCAGGAAATTGAGCGGTATAAGTTAGGGGAACCAAGCACATTTCATTACCTAAATCAATCGAATTGCTACTCCTTGAGTGCACTTGATGATGCCAAGGAGTACCTAGCTACGAGGAAAGCTATGGATGTTGTTGGGATTAGTTCTGACGAACAGGTACTTTTTGTTTGGTCAGTAATGAGGAAAACTCTTCTTACATATTACTTTTGCAGGATGCAATCTTCCGGACAGTTGCTGCTATTCTTCATCTAGGGAACATTGAGTTTGAAAAGGGAGAAGAAGCAGATGCTGCAGAACCTAAGGACGATAAATCCCGGTTCCATCTGAAAGTGGCTGCAGAACTTTTCATGTACATTCTTCAATATACACTGTTCTTGAATAACATATTTATTTTCTACTGGAGTTAGAGCCATGATTTCTCTTTGTTGGTACAGGTGTGATGAGAAAGCTCTAGAAGACTCCTTGTGCAAAAGAGTGATGGTGACTCGTGGTGAAAGCATTACAAAGTCGCTTGATCCTAGTAGTGCAGCTCTAAGCAGAGATGCTCTTGCCAAGATTGTCTATTCTAAACTGTTTGATTGGTAGGTTTCCTTCTGAAGGGCTTAATATGATTCATCTTGAGATTTAATTTTTTTTAAAAGCTGTGTACAAATTTACTGCTCTCAGGCTTGTGACTAAGATCAATAACTCCATTGGCCAAGACCCAAGTTCAGAATACATTATTGGAGTCCTGGATATATATGGATTCGAGAGTTTTAAGACAAACAGGTGCTTAACCGGTATGCTCTTATATTCATCAAAATGTTAAATAATCCTTTTGTGATTTGATTCTTACCTAGCTACGTTGCTTCTTACGTATATATGATTTCTGAATGATACCTTAGCTTTCAAGTTACTTAGCTAGTGCTTTTTTTTTGAAGTTTCTGATAATATTAATATTCCCACTATTGATTGTTTTCTGTGGTTCAGCTGATAGCAGTAACAATGATTTTTTACAATTCCAACGTTGACTTTCTCTTTTCACAAACATTTTGTAGCTTTGAACAGTTTTGTATAAACCTAACAAATGAGAAGCTGCAACAGCATTTCAACCAGGTTGGAGACTTGTGTTCTTCTCAGAGTATTGATTCTTTATTAATCTTTTTTTTTTGTTGATCATTATTCATGCATGTGTTCCTCTCTTCTATAGCATGTGTTCAAAATGGAGCAAGAAGAGTATACTAAAGAAGAGATTGACTGGAGTTACATAGAGTTTATAGATAATCAGGATGTTCTTGATCTTATAGAAAAAGTAAGTAGTAGCATAGTGAGTGGTGTTGGAACCTATGATCTTTTCCTACTAGAGATATGTTAATTTTCAGTTTCTAATAACAATTGTTTCATGATCAGAAACCTGGTGGCATTATTGCCCTTATTGATGAGGCTTGGTAATGTATCAAAGACATCATCTAATTTCTCTCTTCATTTTTGTTTAGTTCAATATATGGCTGAGTTTGTGTTTGCATCTACAGTATGTTTCCAAAATCAACACATGATACACTTGCGCAAAAGCTATACCAAACATTTAATAGCCACAAGCGTTTTAGCAAACCAAAGTTGGCTCGTACAGACTTTACCATCTGCCATTACGCTGGTGATGTTAGTGCCTCAAGCGTTTGCTTATAAACCTTTTTTTTTTCTTGAAGTTATTGGCAAAACTGTAGAACTTTGTGTGATGACCGTATTCTTGTTTAATTTTCAGGTCACTTATCAGACTGAACTATTTTTGGACAAGAACAAAGATTACGTTGTTAGAGAACATCAATCTCTCATGAACTCTTCAGATTGTTCCTTTGTCGCATCTTTGTTTCCAAAACTGAAATTGGAATCCTCAAACTCATCAAAGTTCTCATCAATAGGCTCTCAATTCAAGGTCTGAAGATGATGTTAAGTTCAAAAAAATTCTTGTTATAACATTATACCGTGATTCTCACCATGTTCTAAAATACAGCAACAACTACAATCTTTGCTGGAGACGTTGAACACTACAGAGCCGCACTACATACGCTGTGTTAAACCAAATAACGTTCTCAAGCCAGAGATTTTTGAGAATATTAACGTTCTGCATCAACTTAGGTGTGGGGTAAGCTTAATGTTTTCAGAGAATCTTATGCTTTCATTTTTGCAAATGCAACAAAGTCTTGACCTCTACATCCTTTTTCTGAGCTCAGGGGGTCCTTGAAGCCATTAGAATTAGCTGTGCTGGATATCCTACTAGAAAGTCTTTCAATGAATTTTTAACTAGGTTCAGAATTTTGTTTCCGGAGGCTACAAAAAAAAGGTAGATTCACACCATTACTAACTTTTGCAGTTAATCTCTTAAAATTTTAGTCTAGTGCAAATAATAGTTTAAGGTTTTAGACTCATATAAAACAACTTCCTGCCTCTGTTTATGTTTAAAGCTTTGACGAAGTTGATGCTTGCAAAAAGCTTCTAGCAAAAGTGGAGCTAAAAGGTTTTCAGGTGCGTTTTTCATATTCTTGTCTCACAGTTCTTGGATTTGTTTCATGGTCACACTTCACAAGACTCCTATCTCTAAAAATGACAGATAGGGAAGACAAAGGTGTTTCTTAGGGCAGGTCAGATGGCAGAACTAGACGCTCACCGATCTGAAGCTCTTGGCCATTCAGCGAGGATCATTCAGAGGAAAGTCCTAACTTATCAGTCTCGTAAAAAATATTTGATATTGCAGTCTGCTTCAAGAGACATCCAAGCCTTCTGTAGAGGTAACACATGTTGTATGCAATTCCACGTGCGGTATATATATTTTTTTAGCTTCATAGTTTTTCATTTCTAATTAGCCTTCTCCCATATGATTGTAGGAAACATGGCACGGCTTCAGTTTGAGTCCATGAGAAGAGAAGCAGCTTCTGTGAGAATCCAGAAGCAGGCGCGGAAGTATATATGTCACACAACCTATAAAAAGCTGTGTATTTCAGCTGTTTATGTTCAGACTGGATTGCGCGCAATGGCTGCTCGAGTTGAACTTCAATACAGAAAGAAGAGACAAGCGGCAATTATTATTCAAGCAAGTTTTCAAAACCTCATTTTTGATGACATTAATCTTTTCATTCTTTTTGAGTATTAATAACATGGAAGTTGCTTATTATTCCAACAGAGTCAAATCAGAAGATATTTGTGTCGTCGGCGTTATTTAAGAATGAAGAAAGCAGCTATTACCACTCAGTGTGGCTGGAGAGTAAAAGTTGCACGCCGAGAATTGCGCAAGCTTAAAATGGTTATATTATTTCTTTGCCTTATGTCATAATACTTCTTTGTATCAAATATATGCAGCTATGTGCCTAATACTTTCTTTGTATTCCTCTAGGCTGCTAAGGAAACAGGAGCCCTCCAAGAAACTAATACTAAGTTAGAGAATGAATTAAAAGAACTCACTTCAATCTTAGAGCTTGAGAAACAGATGAGGGTAGGCGTAGGAATGTTTATTTTCTTGAACCATGATATTTCTCTCTCCATGTGAGACATCTGATTTGGCTACTTATGCAGATGAAACTTGAGGAAGCCAAAAACCAAGAAGTTGAAGAGTTGAAAGCAGCTTTAAATGACATGAAACTTCAGCTGGGGGAAACTCAAGAAACCAAAAGTGAGGAGATCTTGAAGTTGGAGTCAGCTTTACAGGACATGAACCTAGAATTTGAAGAACTTGCTAAGGAACTGGAGATGACGCATGATCTTGCCGCAGAAAATGAAAATCTCAAGGTAAGGCCATTAAGGTTTACAAAATTTTAAAATTTTAAAATGTATGATTGTGTGTGCTCTGTTTTACCATGTATCCTTATAACTTGTTAGGAGTTGGTAAGCTCATTACAAAGGAAAACTGATGAATCCGAGACCAACTATGAAGAAACAGGTAAGCTAAGTGGAGAAAAGATAAAACAGGAGGTTCCTGTCATTGACCATGATGCAATCATCAAACTTGAAGCTGAAAATCAACAACTGAAGGTAGGTTTCGTGGGAAACAAGTTTCATTTGAGATTTTCAATGTTTTCTCTGGATAATCTAATATCTCATCAAGCACGCACCATTTATTAGGCGTTGGTCAGTTCATTGGAGAAGAAAATAGATGCCTTAGACCGAAAACACGACGAAACAAGCTCAAACATCACAGAGCAGTTGAAGGAGACTGCTTCATCTGATTACGAAATTGTGAGTGATCTTGCAGCTGAGAATGAACGTCTCAAGGTAAGCTTGTATATGCTCTAGTCATGCTCATTTTAATGTTTTCAGGATTTTTTTTTTGTCGTTGATCTGATGTATGACACTTTTCAGGCACTGGTGAGTTCTTTAGAGAGGGAAAATAACGAAAAAGATAGGAGTGATTCACCAAACAAGAAAAAGGAGGGTACACACCTGACTGAAGAAGAGAGCTCAACAGAGGATATTGATAATGAAATGACCAAAAAACTTGCTTCTGAAAACAAAGAATTATTTGTAAGTTTTTCAGACAATGTATCCTTCCTTCACCATTACAAGTTTGTGGGTTATGTCTCTCTTAAATTTATATTGAAATTCCACAGGAACTGGTAGATTTGTTGGAAACTAAAATAGTTGAAACAGAGAAGAAATATGAGGAAGCAAGTAGACTTTGTGAAGAGAGGCTTCAGCAGGTTGTAGACACAGAGAAGAAGTATGAGGAAGCAAGTAAACTATGTGAAGAGAGGCTTCAGCAGGTTGTAGAGGCAGAGACAAAACTAATCGAGTTAAAAACATCTATGCAAAGGTTTTGCATTCTCTCTTAGTCCAAATTTTCAGTCTACATATATGCATTACTTATTCACTTCTTATATTATAGGCTTGAGGAAAAGGTCTCTGACATGGAGACAGAAGACAAAATTCTTCGGCAACAAGCACTGGTGCATTCAGCTTCCCGGAAAATGTCACCCCAGATGTCATTTACAGGACCCCCGGTAAAAACCCTCTATGCAATTTCTAATATTATTTATCTAAAATTATGTTCAAGAAAAGTCTTGACCTCTTCCTATTCATGTACCTCTTGAAGCCAATGGAGAACGGACATCATGTAAGTGGTCTTAAGTTAAAACTTAGATGAACTGTTGGTTACATACACTTAAATCATCTTTGCTATTTCTTACAGGCATCATTGGCTCCTGTACCATCAAGAAGGTTTGGGACAATATCTTTCAGGCGATCTCGGATTGAACGACAACCCCATGTAATGTGCCTAATGGAAACCTAAAACTAGTATTGTGATACCTCTTTTTCATTGGCTAATGAGTAATGTTTTGATGATGCAGGAATACATTGACGTCCTTATCAAGTTTGTTTCGCAAAAGGTCGGATTCAGCCATGGAAAGCCTGTTGCGGCATTTACAATATACAAATGTCTCATACACTGGAAAGTATTCGAAGCAGAGAAGACCAGTATCTTTGATCGTATGGTCCCTGTTTTTGGTTCTGCTATTGAGGTAACCTCAAGTTTACATAGTAGTCGCATTGTGGTATTCATTAATGGTATTCAGGTTTTTGGGTTCGGATTATTTAGTTTTCAGGTTATTGGGTTGGGGGGGGGGGTTAGGAATCATTTAAGGGATTAGATCGGTTTAGTGTTGGGTTTAAGTTGGATTTCTGTTTTCTTATAAAAAAGCAAAATGAAACCGAATTAGAAATAGTTTGAATTTGTTCGGATTTAAAGCCAAAACGAAGAAAATCTGAACTGAACTCGAAAAATGAAAACATATTTGAGTAATTCGAGGTTTTGGCTATTTTATTATATTATATATACTAAAAAAATTAAGATAAAAATTTTTCATCAGAATATTCTGATACGAGATGGGTTCTCTATTTGGTATTGGTTTTTCAAGTTTAGAGAGTAGAAATCAATTAGTTTTTTTTTGTAAATTTTGGTCCGGTTTTAGATTTTTTAGTTTGGTTTGGTTTGGTTTTGGGATAATATGTCCAGGACTTGTATTCATGGTCAATGTAATCTGACAGTAAACAAACAGCTTAGACTTGCATTAGACTGAACTTGACATCATCTTTCTGATTTCTGCCCTTTATAGAATCCGGAAGATAATGATCATTTGACATATTGGCTAACAAACACATCTACGCTACTGTTCTTGCTTCAAAGAAGCTTGAAAACCCATAGCACAAGCAGTGCAACTCCGAAACCTCCTCAGCCGACTTCCTTTTTTGGGAGGATGACACAGGTAAACAACATCTTATTCATTTATCTCCAAGAATAGTATGTTTAATATGGTCATCTTAAACTTTCAATGTATCTTGTCTAACATGACTGGCTATGTCACAGGGTTTCCGTTCACCTTCTTCGGGAAGCCTTTCAGGTGACGTAGTGCAACAAGTAGATGCTAAAGTTCCTGCTTTGCTTTTCAAGCAGCAGCTCACAGCCTATGTTGAAACAATATATGGAATAGTTCAAGAGAATGTGAAGAGTGAATTAGAGCCTGTGCTCTCTTCATGCATTCAGGTAGACTTATCTATATATGGTTTCCTCTAAAAACATCAGCAAATTATTCAGATCATGAATCACTGCAAGATACGGTCATCTCACTTATTAGTTCTCAATGTCTCAGGGACTGAAAGATTCATTACATGAGCCATCTGGACAGAGTTCACCAACAAAGTCATCTGAACAGAATTCACCAACAAAGTCATCTGCACAGAGTTCACCAGCAAAGTCATCTGCACAGAATTCACCTGCAAAGTCATCTAATCAGAACTCACCAAAAAAGTCATCTGATCAGAACTCACCAGCAAAGTCATCTGAACAGAATTCACCAGCAAAGTCATCTGAACAGAACTCACCAGCAAAGCCATCTGAAGAGATTCCACCAGAAGAACCATCCGCAGAGAATTCACCAGCGAAAACTTGGCAAGGGATCATAGACCTTTTGAATCGGCTTCTCAGCATGTTAAAGAAAAACTACGTAAGAACTTTTCTTTACTCGAGGGTAATTTGTTTGTATCTACCTAATCTGTACTCTCTGAAAAAAACTTGTTGTTACAGGTTCCTCTGTTTCTTACTCAGAAGATATTCAGCCAAACATTCCAAGGCATCAATGTTCATGTCTTTAACAGGTAAGTACACTCCCCTCATCAACCTTATCCCATCAACCATTAAACTTAAAGCTGTAACATAAATATATGCAGCCTTATGCAACAAGAATGCTGTACATTCAACATGGGCAAAAAGGTGAATGCTTTGTTAAATGAATTAGAGGCATGGTGTAGCGAAGCAACTGAAGAGGTAAATTCATTTGTCTTAGTAGCCATACATTCCAGTCTCTTGACTGATTGAAATTAAATTTTTCTGAATGCAGTTTGTAGGGTCTTCATGGGATGAACTCAAATACACAAGACAAGCCGTGGTGCTCCTGGTCTGTCTTTTCTTTTAAGAACCAAGTTTATAGAAACATAAATTAACAGTACAAGACTCTTCTGTCTTTGTCCTGAGTATATCAACTGATTTATTTTCCAGGTTACAGAACAAAAGTCCACAATTACATATGATGATCTTACCACTAACCTCTGTCCGGTAACTACTCTCTCCTCTTCTCTGATCTAAAACATTCCTTGGAGAATGCTAATATTCACACCCTTTTCTGATCTCTTTCTGACTGTCTCTTTAATCTCTCAGGCTCTTAGTACTCAGCAACTGTATAGAATATGTACCCTCTACAAAAGTGATGACGACAAGGAGCAGAATGTATCCCCAGACGTATGTTTCCCCTTTACATCTCTCAAATAAACCATAACACATTTTACTAAATATCCTTAAAATCATTTCATTATCTGCTCACGTTTTCCATTGATGCAGGTGATTTCCAACTTGAAACTTCTAATCACAGATGAAGACGAAGACAGCCGTTCGTTCTTGTTAGACAATGATTCCAGGTACTAAAAAAATATTAAATAGACGCTTAACATATCTTCAGACATTATTCACCACCATAAACTGATGACATTGTCTTTGTGAAACTCAGCATCCCCTTCGCAGCAGATGAAATTTCCAACTGTATGCAAGAAAAAGAATTTACCAATGTAAAAGCAGCCATCGAACTCGCTGATAATCCTAACTTCCAGTTTCTAAAGGACTGAGATCTATTTGTTCCGTTCTTCATCTGACCACTGATTTGATGAGACCAAGTTGTATATAGAACCCCATAGGCTCCCCTTGTCTCTTCTTCTGATTTGATTCTTACATGTTCTGTTCATTTTCTTGAGGGTGGTTAAGTTAAAGCCAGCCAATATTTTACTTAAAGGAAACTTCTCTATGTAGAACTAACTTCAAATCAGTTACAAGCAAAGAGATAGAGCCCACTCCATGGAGATAATTGTGAAAAACATAGCATTATTGGGGTTTTTTTTTTGGTTTGTAAGAAAGATGTGGCTTCCCATTCTTAGACATCAATTTATCTTTTGTTTGGTAATGTGTTTGTTACCATATATATGCTACTTTTATGTGAAAACAATATTGAAGTTCAAACAAGATCTATGTAGACATTCATTTTTGCCATTGACAAAGAGACAGTAATCTCTGAATGAAATAAAACAAGAATATGTTCCTCAAGTACATGAGTGTGTGTGTGTGTGTGTATCATTGTCTCTTATTATATAATGAAAAAAAATAGATAAAACAAGGGAAGCATCAAGGGTCTAAAATGCTTATACAACATCTATCATCATTAAAAGGAGGCATTGATAAATATTACCAGACATCAGGACGAAGCTCTCTGGCATCCAACGACGAGAGTTATACACGTTTTCACCAATTTTCCAACCAGGAACATCTTTTATCACATCAGTCTCATAATCAAGATACTTCTTCCACTCAGACACAAACCTATTTACAATAAAACAAATGAGATTCAGTTGAACTCTGACTCTATACCCCAAGAAAAAGAACTAATTTGTTTTTGTTTTTGTTTTGTAAACCTTTCATCTTCTTCTACTTGAAGAATAGGGTGCTGTTCGTTTGCTCACCCAGGTGATCCATCTGGGTGAAGATGCAAATCAATGTTCGTTTTGTACATTAAAATGCTACATCTAGATGGATCACCCAACTGATTTTTTAAAAACTCATCTCAAATTCTCACCCAAATGAAGGTGAGTCTTGATGGTGCATCTGGATGCAGATGCATCTAGTTCAGTCCAAAATCATAAAAGACAAAATAACCTTTTAAAATAAATATAATTTTTCAAACCATAAATACTAATTTTTTTTGCAAATATATCTTTCCGTAAAAACCAAAAAATATTTTTTCGCCAAAATCGTAAAAATCGAAAAATGTATTTTCCACCAAAATCGTAAAAATACACTTTCTCGCTAAAACCGCAAAAATACATATTCCCGCCAAAAATGCATTTTGCTGCCAAAACCACAAAAACGCATTTTCACGCCAAAACCGTAAAAATGTTTGTTTCCCGCTAAAACCGTAAAAACACATAAAACATGTTTTCCAGCCAAAACTGTAAAACGCATTTTCTACCAAAACCGTAAAAAGGTATTTTCCCGCCAAACCCGCAAAAACGCGTTTTCCCGCCAAAACCGCAAAAACACGTTTGCACGCCAAAACCATAAAAACGTATTTTTCCGCCAAAACTGCAAAAACGCGTTTTCTCGCCAAAACCCGTAAAAACGCGTTTTCCCGCCAAAAACACATAAAACACGTTTTCCCGCCAAAACTGCAAAAACGCATTTTCTACCAAAACCGTAAAAATGTATTTTCTCGCCAAAACCGCAAAAACGCGTTTTCCCGTCAAAACCGCAAAAACACGTTTTCACGCCAAAACCATAAAAACGTATTTTCCCGCTAAAACTGCAAAACACATTTTCTCGGTAAAACTGCAAAACACGCGTTTTCCCGCCAAAATTGCAAAAAATGTTTTCCCGCTAAAACTGTAAAAACACATTTTCATGTCAAAATCGTAAACGTTAATTTTTCCGGCAAAACTGGAAAAACTCATTTTTCATCAAAATCGTAAAAATGCATTTTCCCGCTAAAAATGTAAACACAAATTTCTTTTATTCATTTTATTAACAAATCCATCTGGATGCAGATGCAAGTTAAAAAAAAACAAACGAACATAGTTACATTTAGATGATTCATCTAGATATATAGACGAAATAGATAAACGAACAACATCCAGATGGAGCATCTGGATAAGACATCTAGATGGACCATCTGGATGCATCTTTCAGATGTACAAACGAACATGGCCTAGGAAGAATCGCTCTACGTGCAGCGTATTTCTCTCTTCCTTCAACGCTCTATCAACCACATCGATCTTTTAATTAGAACCTTGGTGGTGACACATTGTGCTCATTATGACATTTTGGCCATCATTAAAATACTGAACTGCTGGGCCAAAAGAGACTAACAGAGGATGATAACACTGTGTTGTTATAAGAAACTAGGCAAAAAATCGTCACTAAGCAAGCTGATAGAATCAAAATCTGACCACCTAAACACCAAAACAGAAGCAAATAGTACCATCATCCTCTTACAATTCAATTGCTTTCATCACAAAAAACTAAAAGGATCCTTCATTAGCCACAAAATGGGTTGTTGACAAACGAATCTAACACTAAGAACACACAAAATGAAGTTGCGGTGTTGTGTAATGATACTGTATCTCAAGCAAGCACGAATGACCAGTATCATCACCATCATCATCTTACAATCTCAAAGGATCGTTAATTAGGTATACAGTGTGTTGCTATTCCTAAACCAATTAACACTTGAGAACACACAAAAACTGAAGCAAAGGCATATCCTTCACACTCTCCTTTCATCTTCAACCCCTCGGAGAAGAGGATCAGAAATGTGTAGGCGAATTATTATTTTCTTCTTTTTGAATTGTTTTATTAAACGGGCTTTATAAGGCCCATTAACCTGAACCGAGCCCAGATCGGATGCTAAAAAAAACCTAAAACAATGAGCTTGGAGAAAACGCCAAAACCCTAAACCCTAGGCTGCTTCGCTGTACTTTTATTTCTCCTCGAGTTCAGTTTAGCTTCTCTTTGAGTTCGATCTGTAATCTTCTCGGGTTTAGTGAGAATCTACCACCACCATGTATCGTCTTATCACCAGCATTGCTTCTAAAGCTAGGTTAGATCTATTAGTTCTTTGCTTTTACTCCATGAGATGATGATGACTCTAGCTTGCTTCTCCCTTTTCTTGAATTTAATTATAATCTTTCTTTGCTTTTTCTTTTTAACAGAGTTGCCAGAAACTGTACAACTCAGGTTCGTCTCTTTTTCATTTCGTATCTAGTTAAGCTAGTTTATCCAATTGTGGGTATATATGTATTGATGTGTTTTTTTGTGTATTGTTTAGATTGGAAGCAGACTTAGTTCCACTAGGAATTATGCAGCAAAAGACATAAGGTTTGGTGTTGAGGGACGTGCTTTGATGCTTAGAGGTGTCGAGGAGCTTGCTGATGCAGTCAAAGTCACTATGGGACCAAAGGTATACACTTCTCTGTTTATTGTTAAGCGAATCTAGGTAACGAGAAAGGTAGATTTGGTGCCCTAGCGACATCATGTTTTTTTTTATTACACTTGCATACTTTCTGTTCAATAGGTTATTACTGTTAAGGGAATATAGTTTATGTACCGACCTCCTAGTGACACTAATCCAAAATTGTCTGTTTTATTACCCCCGGTGTTTTCTGAATTTCCTTGGTTCTTTTAAGGGTCGTAATGTCATCATCGAACAAAGCTGGGGTGCACCTAAGGTGACAAAGGATGGTGTAACTGTTGCCAAGAGCATTGAGTTCAAGGACAGAGTCAAGAACGTTGGTGCCAGTCTTGTCAAACAGGTTGCTAACGCCACCAATGACGTTGCTGGTGATGGTAAGGGCCTTCCCTTTCATTGCATTACACCCTTTTTATGTTGTCTTTAGTGTTAATTGTTGTTTTTGTATCCGTCAAAAACAGGAACAACTTGTGCTACTGTTCTTACTAGAGCTATCTTCGCGGAAGGCTGTAAATCAGTTGCTGCTGGAATGAATGCAATGGACCTAAGACGTGGTATCAAAATGGCTGTTGACACCGTTGTGACGAACTTGAAGAGCCGAGCACGCATGATTAGCACTTCTGAGGAGATTGCTCAAGTTGGAACCATATCAGCTAATGGAGATAGAGAAATTGGTGAACTTATTGCCAAGGCTATGGAAAGTGTTGGCAAAGAGGGAGTTATCACAATTCAAGTGAGTTTAATGATCTGATCCCTAGTTGTTAAGTTTTTAATCTGCTTGTTTCTTATGCTTTCATCTCTTTATACAGGATGGCAAGACCTTGTTTAATGAGCTTGAGGTTGTTGAGGGTATGAAGATTGACAGAGGATACATCTCCCCATACTTTATTACAAACCAGAAGAACCAAAAATGTGTAAGGATCCGGATCCCACTTTGTTGCTTTATCATTTTCTAAGAAACTTTCCATTTGAACACTTCTATATGGATATGGTTTTGCAGGAACTAGAAGATCCTCTCATTCTCATCCACGAGAAGAAAATTTCCAATTTAAATTCTATGGTGAAAGTCTTAGAACTTGCCCTCAAGGTATGAACAATTTGGTGATATCTTGAATTTTAATAATCTCTGTTCGTATTCATCAAGTTACTTAGTATCTGAATATTTACTTTCTCTCATCTTTTTCAGAGTCAAAGGTCTCTGCTGATCGTTGCGGAGGATTTGGAGAGTGATGCTCTTGCCGTGCTAATTCTTAACAAGCTTCGTGCTGGAATCAAGGTTTTTCTTTTCAGCTTTTTCTTTTTTTTTTTCTTACTCATTAAAAATTTAGTTTGCTTGGACTGATCTAAACACCAAAACATTGTAGGTCTGTGCTGTGAAGGCCCCTGGTTTTGGAGAAAACCGTAAGGCCAATATGCACGATCTAGCTACCCTCACCGGAGCTCAGGCAAGCCCATATTCCTGTTTCACTATCTGTCAAAGACACTAATTGCATGAGCTATAATATTCCTTTGATGGTTTCAATTGACAGGTGATAACAGAAGAGTTGGGTATGAATCTCGAGAAAATCGACCTCAGTATGCTTGGAAACTGCAAAAAGGTTCGTTTGGTGGCTTATTCTCGTTTATCCCCTTTACATACATTTTATATAACATGATTTTCATTTGTGAACAGATAACTGTATCCAAGGACGACACAGTTTTCCTTGATGGGGCTGGTGACAAGAAAGCAATTGGGGAGCGATGTGAACAGGTTGGTTAATACTTCTCACATATTATCATGTAGTAGAGTCAGTGATCTTCTTTGAATCCTTTTAACAACTGGGAGGGATGTTGACAATGTAATAACGGTAAATAAATCACACAGATACGATCAATGGTTGAAGCCAGCGAGTCTGACTATGACAAGGAGAAGCTACAAGAAAGGTTGGCTAAGCTTTCTGGTGGTGTTGCTGTCCTAAAGGTATTGAAACTACTCTCTTAACATCTCTGTTGGTCCATACTAATGGACTGAATATTTACTCATGAGATGGGATTTTAGATTGGAGGAGCGAGCGAGTCAGAAGTTGGAGAAAAGAAAGATAGAGTGACCGATGCTCTAAATGCCACCAAAGCAGCTGTTGAAGAGGGTATTGTTCCAGGTGGTGGTGTTGCTCTTTTGTACGCCTCAAAAGAACTTGAGAAGCTTTCCACAGCTAACTTTGATCAGAAAATCGGTGTCCAAATCATCCAAAACGCTCTCAAGGTTTTTTTCTCATCATATCTTTCTTCACATCTCCAAGATGAACAGCTTCTTGAATCTTATACCAAATTTTTTTTGATGCAGACACCTGTTTACACAATTGCTTCCAACGCTGGAGTCGAAGGTGCAGTCATTGTAGGCAAGCTTTTGGAATCAGATAATCCTGACCTTGGTTATGATGCTGCTAAAGGTTAGTTTTGTACTTGCTCTTGGTCCACCTTGTTATTTCGCTGTATAAACTATCTTTCCACATTTTGTTTCCAGGAGAATATGTTGATATGGTAAAGTCTGGTATTATCGACCCTGTGAAAGTGATCAGAACCGCATTGGTTGATGCTGCAAGGTACACACTTAAGTTTGATAATTTTATAGTTAATTTTTTTAAAAGTTTATAGCCTTAATGTCTTTTGCTAATCTTTGTTGTTATATTGGATAGTGTCTCGTCTTTGTTGACGACAACGGAAGCAGTTGTGACCGAGATTCCAACTAAAGAGGATGCGTCTCCAGCTATGGGAGGTGGTGGTGGCATGGGTGGTATGGGCGGTATGGGAGGAATGGGTTTCTGATGACAACCATGCACGCTTGCTATGTTTCTTTGGAGGTTGTTGTGAGATGATATTGTTACTTACAAGGCACTAATTGATAAATTTTTTTCTATCGTGACTGGAAGAGAAATAGACCTTAAGATTTTTCCATGATCTATGGGTTTCTTTCACTCTCGATTTATAAATTATTCATTAAAGATCAAAGTTCTTTGCTCATATTCATAACGTTGAGGGAATCTTTTTTTGATGTATCACCAAATCTCCTATGTGGTCCGAATGGTTCTAGGCAATCACTTAGGCAGCGTTATAACCTTATCAGGTCTTTTTTTTTAAAATAAGTTTTCTTACAACCAGTAACTAAAAAGCCGCTTGTTTCTTTGGCATGTGAAAAAACCCGGAAATATAAAGAACCAATAAAACCCTACGAATATCGAAAAGTGCTTAAACTAACTCGTTACTAGAATCAGAATCACAAAAACAACAAAACAAAAGAGAAGCCATTCTTTATCTGGTGAGTCTGTTTAAAGACTAGACCCTAAGTTGAACCATTCTTCAGATCAAGACTTAAGCATATCCCGGAACAAACCAGAAGCTCTTCAAGGCCGAAGCATCTGTTGTTTTAGTAGGCCATGTAATTGTACTCGTCCCAAGATCGAATATACCCCAATTAATTTTTCTGTAGGTACAAAGATAATCTGGACCTCCTGGCCAAAGATCATGACCACTGAAATATATATAATCACTCTTGATTGTGACTCCATGACCAAATACCAACATGTCACCTCCAAGCGAATCTACTCTTTCCCAGTTACCATTTTCAACATTCATCTTAAACATGTATAACATACGTTTCTTTTGTAACCCTTTTAAGCTCACAACGATTAAAATCTCTCCTGGGTTCGTAATCGCTATTTTCTTTGTCCACACATGTTCCCCAAGTTGTGTAACAAACTGAAACCTATGGTTATGATATGGGTTCCCTTCCACGATCTCATTAACCAATTCTCCCGATAAATCAAGAATCTTGACGTAATCATCACATGTAAGCACATAAAGCTTGTTCTTCTTATAAACCATAGATCTACACCGTGTGCCTTCATGCTTACGCCACGTGTCATCTCCTTTCTTGTATAAGAACAAGTCGTGTTGCATGTAACTCAAGGCGACAACATAATCCCCTGTTCATCCAAAGACAACCTGAGAGAGCTTGACAGGTTATGGTACTACACAAGAGGAGGTATCTCGACAAGTACTCTTTTCGTTGGAAGATAGTTTCAGCAAAAAGCAACAACCCCATTGATGGAAGATTGATTCTCTCGCAAGTAAACACATTCAGAAGATACAAATCTATACGAGAATCAATGATCAAGAGCCAGTTGCTACAACTAGCGATGACGCAGCTTTCCGAAAAGTCGGTTCCTGGATGTTCGGCTTCAAGAGTTTTGTCTTGTTCGGGATCAAATATCAAAGTTGAAGAGTTACGTAACAGGATTCGCCATGGATACAGAGGTCGCATGCATGTTGTGGAGACAGAATACCAGCTCGAGCAGACACTTCTTGCCCTATGAAAGTCATAAGTGCTTAAACTTTCGAGGATCGATCTCAAAAGATCTGAACAGAGTTTGGACCAATCATACCCAACTCCAGACATTGTCCTCTCTTCAAATTAGTCTTAATTTGTTTGATGCTTATAAACGTGGTGATGTAAATTAGGGTTTGGTTCCGAGCTTCTGATTCCTTAATGGAATATGTAAATTATATGTTTATTATTAATATTTACTTTTAGTTTATTTTAATACCTCTTAAAATATGCAGTAAAAATGTGATTGTTTTTAAGAAATTATATTATATAAGTAAAATATAATTTATATTTTTTCTGCTATAATTGTAAGATATTATAGTCACCTAAATATATTAAAAAATTAAAAAAAAATATATATTTCAATAATACTAATTATAAATATTTGTTTTTGTCAATTAAACATATAGTAGTTTATGTTACTTAATTTTTTTTTTGTGTGATTATCTGATATCATGATTATCTGATATCATGATTTTTCTAATATCATGATTATCTTTGTGAACTTTTTTTAATGAACATCACATTATATACAAGTATTGTTTTTCATCTAAGAAGATATAGATATAAGGAAAATATTTTATTACGTCAAAAGTATATTTTATGTTATTAAAAATATATTTAAAATGAAATATTACTGTTTTGTGTATTTTCTTTTTTATGTAATCATATTATATATACATATATTTTTCGTTTTTAAATAATTTTGTAAACTTTATAAATGTTTCCTTTTATTTTATATATTTATTTGGAAAAATTAAAAATGGAATAATAATATTTAAATTTCAATTTTAATTCATTAGAGGTATCATAGCAATCAACTGGCACGAGAGTTAATATGAGCACAAAACCTAAAAAAGTTACTTTTTAAATAATACTAGGTTTAGACCGCGCTACGCACAAAATTATTTGATTTTCCAATGTTATTATATAACTATTCTTATATTTGTATATTTAATTATCTTATATTATATATATGATTATTCTTATTTTTTATTTTTATATCAAATGATAATATTACAACACATATTTAGTGTGAGAGTTAACGTGAACGCAAAACCTAAGAAATTGACTTTTTAAATAATAATAAGGTTAAACCGCGCTACGCGCATAACTATTTGATTTTCTAATGTTAATTATAATTTTATTCTTTTATTGTACATTTAATTATGAAATAAAGCCCAAAATAGTCTCAATCCAAGTTTTTGTCCCCAAAGTAGCACTCAAGGTCTAAAATCACAAAAATAGATTTCATTGAAGGGGAGAATTACCTTTATGCCCCTTTTTGACTAACTAAAAAAAACCCTCATTCGAAAGTCGTCTTCTTCGTCTCTTCGCTGTCTGTCGTGTCTCCTCTTCGCCGTCCGTCGTCTCCTCTTCATCGTCCGTCGTCTCCTCTTCGCCGTCCGTCGTCTCCTATTGTGTCCTTATCTATGTTCATCGTCGTCTGTGCATCTTCTCGATCCGCCTTCGTCGTCTTTGCGTTAGCCTTGATCCATCGTCTCTGCGTCATCATAGATCCGTTGTCTTCTTTGTCTCTTCATATCATTCTCTGGTTTCTCTGATTTGGTCAAGGTATCAATATTTCATTTTCGTTATACATTATCGAGTTTTTGATTTGTATGTGTTGTGGTTGTTGATGATCGAGTTTTTCCTTTTTTACATTGAAAATCGAGATACATTATGTGATCGAGATACATCTCAATGTGATTTTTATGGTTATACATTATCGAGTTTTTCCTTCTTTACATTGAAAATCGAGATACAACTTCAACTTTATCATTGATACATTGACATTAAAATTTTTTTTATCACATTGTTTGTGTTTTTGAGATTTGCTTTTGACGATTTGTTTGTATTTTAGCTCAGTTACCAAATTCTTAATCTATGATACATTGACATTAGCAAACTTTTATTGTCAGATTGTTTGTCTTTTTGAAATTTGCTTCGACGAGTTGTTTGTATTTTAGCTCAGTGCTACCAAATTTTTAATCTATGATACATTGACATTTGCAAACTTTATTATCAGATTGTTTGTCTTTGGCTTACTCATGTTATAACATTGATATCTTTTGGTAGGCTCGTGAATTTGCTTATAACATTGTTAATCTCTTGCTTGTGCTTTGTGGTTGTGAAACTTTGTAGTACTTTTAAAATTTTGAGGAAGGATTTATGTAGTTTCAGGAAAACGTTTCTAGAAAATTCAATGTTAACAAATTTGACTTTTGACTTTTGTTTTTGGTGTTTTCTTGTTAGGCTTAGTCATGTTATATCTTTGATAGGCTCGTGAATTTTCTTATGGAATTGTTAGTCTCTTACTCGTGGTTGTACTTGTGCTTGTGAAACTGTGTAGTGTTTTCTAAATTTTAGGAAGGATTTGTGTAATTTCAGGAAAGCTTTCCAGAATATTTGATAATAACAAATTTGAATCTTTTTTTTTGCTTTGTGACTTCTTGTTTTGCTTACGCCTGTTGATATTTTTGGTAGGCTCGTGAACTTCCTCATGACATTGTTAGTCTCTTACTTGTGTTCTGATTTTTTACAGATATCGAACTATGGCTGAGGTTTTTTGTGTCTGTGGACAATGGAGCTCGAAAGTGTCTCTCCAGTGAGAGTTTACTGTTGATGCAAATATTAATGCATCCTTCATTTACATAAAAGAAGATGCTGAGTATGAAGATTTGATGAAGATTGTCTCCGAAGATTTTAATCTTGAAGAGGAAAAAATCAGTTTGAGTTATGGGATTTCATTGGATATGAAAACTATTGTTGAAGGCTTTCCCCCGATCTCTATAGGTAATTCTCGTCATCTCAGAACTTTCATCGGCAAGATTAGAGCATTTGATGGAACTTGCTGGTTGTGTGTTAAGGTTTGTATCATTTTTTCAACCAAATATTTTTCAGGATAGATTTCCTAATCATGTATTAAGCCTTCTAGAACAACTCGACTTTTTGCAGGTTAATACTGATTCAGCTAGCTACAACACTCAAGCTTCTGATATATTTGCTTCTCATGTTCCATTGAATGCCACTCCTGTGTTTCGTTCTACTGTGTAGAGAGAAAAACAGGTGCACTGTTTTCTATTTTTTGGTTTGTTCTTATTTGTATGATTTCTTATAATGTTCATGATAGCTTTCCTAATCATGTATTAAGCCTTCCAGAACAACTTGACTTTTTGCAGGTTAATACTGATTCAGCTAGCTACAACACTCAAGCTACTGATACATTTGCTTCTCATGTTCCATTGAATGCCACTCCAGTGTTTTGTTCTACTGTGTAGAGAGAAAAACAGGTGCATCGTTTTCTATTTTTTGGTTTGTTCTTGTTTGTATGATTTCTTATAATGTTCAGAATAGCTTTCCTAATCATGTATTAAGCCTTCCAGAACAACTCGACTTTTTGCAGATTAATACTGATTCAGCTAGCTACAACACTCAAGCTACTGATACATTTGCTTCTCATGTTCCATTGAATGTCATTCTAGTGTTTCGTTTTACTTTGCAGAGAGAAAAATAGGTACTAATCCTTAGAGTGTTCAGGATAGGCTCTATGATTTTTGTTTTTACTTATACTTTTCAGGATAAGCTTCCTAATCAAGTACTAATCCTTCTAGAACAACTTGAATTTTGCAGAGTCTTCTTTATGAAGGTGTTTCTATAGTTCCTCTGAATGTTCTTCCGGATTTTAGTCCTGTCCATATTGGACTTTCACCAACTACAAAAGGAGCTGGTGATATTAAGGTGAATAGCTATTTTAAGACCAAGGGAGAGTTAATGTTGAGGATGAAGAAATGGGCTCTAGAGTGGAAGTTTGAGTACAAGACTGTCTCTTTTAACAAGTCAAGAGTGATATTGCAGTGTGTTGATGAAAATTGCACGTGGAAGATGCGTGCTACCAAGATACCTCGTTCAGATATTCGTTGTTAAAAAGTATGTTCATGAGCATACATGCGATACAACACACAGGAAGGCAAACCACATACAAGCATCTGCAAAATTGTTGGGTTCTTTGATATACATCAATTATGGAGAAAAGAAGGAAGGGCTCAAACAAAAACAGATCATTGAACAGGTCAGGATTCAGCATGGCATTCACATTAACTACAAACAAGCTTGGAGAGTGAAAGAAGAAGCTCAGTTTTTGGTTAGAGGGACTTCTGAAGACAATTATTACAATCTATCGAGGTGATTGTACAAAGTCTCAGAGACAAACCCTGGATGGTGCTCGAAAGTTCTTGTATGCATTTGTGGCTTTTGGTCCATCGATAAGGGGATTCTCATTGATGAGGAAATTTATTGCAGTAGATGGTACATTTCTGAAGTGTAAATTCAATGGGACTTTACTGGCAGCTTGTGCTCAAGATGGGGATTATCATCTATATCCTCTCGCTTTTGCAGTGGTTGACACAGAAAACGCCGCCTCTTGAAAATGGTTCTTTACGGGTTTGAGGCAGATGATCTCTGACGCTTCAGATCTTGTTTTTGTATCAGAAAGGACTAACTCCATTGCATCAGCTGTGGAGGATATGTATCCCTTATCCATCTGCTCCGCAACATCACTCCTACATATTCGAAGACTGGGTTGTTACCTTTGGTGGAAAGCGCTGCTGATGCCTACACTTGTCACGAGTTCTGGTCAATCTTCAGGGACATAAAGGATAAATGTCCTGAATTGGCTAAGTATCTGGAAGGTTCGGATTTGAGGAAGTGGGCACGATGCTTTGCGCCTGCGAACAGGTACAATATCATGACTACCAACATTGCAGAGTCTCTCAATTCTATGTTAATACTGCCTCGTGAGTTGCCACTGATCTCTCTCCTTGAAACGATTAGATTGACTCTCACCACTTGGTTTTTTGAGCGACGTGAAGCGACTGCGAAATATAAGCACATGGTTACTCCAAAAGTAGTGCAGAAGATGGTATCCAGGTTGGGTGCTGCAATGTTGTTGAATGTGTATCAATTTGATCAAAGCGAGTTTAAGGTAAATGATGAGACTATGAAGTATGTTGTTGATTTGGAGAAGCGGCATTTCACTTGTAATGTTTTCGACATTGACAAGATACCCTGCA